GCTTATTGATGTTTTCATTTCCTATTGACATTACTGTTTGTGAAACTAACACTGGAAAAGCTCCAAGACTGTTCAATGTGCTTGGCTACCTCATGACAAAGAATTTATCAATTAACTGAAGGATTAGGGTGAGAAGAAGGATTGCCCTTGTTTTCTTGATGAGAAATTAGGATACACAGAAATTAAGTCCAAGACTGAGGATCAGAAGCCAAAGATCAGGTTCCAAACAGAGTCAGATTTATGGGATATTAAAATTGACAACAGAGGGCACAAACCAGTAAGAAGTGGCCAAATACCTACTTTGAAACTAGACAGCCAAGGCTTAAGGGGTGCATTGAATTCTTGGTCCAACTGATTGGTGTAAATTCACAGCATTTGAGCCAGAATGAGAAAATAAACCTTAATGTCTCATTCTGGTGATTTCTTCTCAAAACCATCTTGTTTTTGCCACCTGCAGTCACAATTTTCAGCTCAGTCTATCCTCCAAAACTCCCATCCACAGGAGAGAGAAAAGGCAAACCCAGTCTGGGAGAAGAGCAGTGCACAAGTGCAGCACTGAGGAATTTCCTCGGGTAATTGATTTTCTGTCTGTGTTAACAAGACAATACACAGTATCATTTCTAAAGGCAACACATGATATCCAGAAGACAACATCCCCTGACAAAGAAAGCGACTTGAAAGAGCTTTGCACACCAAATTATTTCATGCATATTCATAACTTGATTAAAATATTAATACTGTAAACTTGTAAGAAACACAAGAGGCGCAGAAACAGCTTTTATTTACTTACACCAGCAACTGAACGTGGCACACACACAAAGGATGTCAGCACTCCTCAGTGCTGGAAACTCACACGTGTGCATTATATATCTGTATATTAGCCTGCAGATAAACATTTATTCCCAAGGGAGGCTGCTAATGAGACTCTGCTGTGGGGGAGATATCCAATTACTCCAAATGACATTTATATTTTAATCACATCACATGCACTGAAGAGCTCGAGGTTTGATGGAGCAATCCTTGAAAGACTTTGCCTTTTTAATCAATTAGCTCTCTAAACATCAGTGACGTGCTGTTGACAAGTCCTTGGGTTAAATATACAACAACACACACAACTCCTCTCTCCCTGCCAGGAGGAAACAGTGGGGTCTTCCAAAACTTCTGAAACAGATGCAAAAAGTTTTCCTCCTAGAAAACACCAAAAACAGAACACTAACAAATAAAGACACCCCTCAAGCTCGCTCTGAGCTACCACTCAGTAAATTCATTTTAGGACAGAAGAAAAACTTTGTTTTAAGGGCAACGCTCCTGCGTAAAACTATCAGACTCGCTCACAAATCCTTTTATAATTGGCTTATCTGAATAAAACCAAGTCAGGCAAAACCATTTGCTTTCTTCAAGCAACCTGTAAGTGACAAATGCCAATGCACACATGGAGACAAAAGTTTGGTCATTTTTAACAGGTTTTAACATTAATCAGGTATTTTAGGATGCTCCAAGTCATAGAAATAAGTACAAAAATGAAGAAAAGCAGAGCTGCAAGACCCTAATTCAATCATTCTTCAAATTAGCATTGCATTTTTCCAGTAAACAGTACATCCTCATGGCTGGTATATTAAACAACAGACCACTTCTACTTCTGAGAGTTTACATGAAAACCTCACTTTAAAAATAAAACTCAGTTCTGTACTCACAAATATCCCTTAATAAGTAAAAACCTAAACAAAAATATGAAGCGGGAATTGATCAAAGTCAGGATGTGATTGGAAAATATTTGAAAGTTCATAAAGTAAGAGTCAAATTATAGCATGAGAATTTTCTTCCCCTTGGAATTAACAAACCACCCATATTCCATCAGATCAGGTCAGCCCAATCAGAAGGTGCAAGGATAAATATTTTGAAAGCTAAAAATTAATTTGATAGTTAAGAAACTGGGAGAAACTGTGGAGCAGAACAGAAATATCACTATCCTTGCAGTTTGTAACTTGCAGCTTGAGAGCTGTTTTGCTGAAGGTACTCAAAGAATACTCATTTAACTTTGCAGTAAAGTTTGTATTTAGGTGGGTTTTTTTATTGCAATCACTTGTTTTTTGGGCTTTGACTCTTTGCTGTTTGGAGTTTGGGTTTGTTGTCTTTTTGTTTTTTAATTCCTGCTTCTCAATTTCAGGCAGACACAGTCCTTCTAATAAATCTCTCTTAACTAATCCCTCCTTCAATACCACTAAATCCTGAGGGCTAAAATGCCCTTTAGCACAGACCTCTGTGAAGGCAGAGAAGCTTGAGTTGCTAAATTTCAATACTTAATCTGGTCTTTAATTGCTAAATGAGCTCTCAGCAATTGCCATGAACACAACACCTAGAACTGAGTCAGTTGTTATCCTTATCCTCCCTAAATGGCTGCTGAATTCAACCAAATCAATACTCAACTACCAAAAATGTGCATTGCTTCTAAGGGTGCCCATCTGCAGGGTAGAAGAGATCTTATATAACAAGTACAGGTTTCTGCCTTTGATGGAATGACTGATGTTGATAATTATGGCAACTGGAGGGAAAAAAGATTGCCAGTCTTAAATATAGAAAACATGGTTGTTCTTGATCTAAAATAACATTGAAATTGGCAATACATTCAATTTCAGCAATCATCAACAGAAGTTTTCACACCTCCATTTTTATGAAATGACATTTATTACCAAGCAAAGCTCCAGAGTGGAATGTGCACCTTTTTCTTGTGCATTCTGTGGTACAAAACATGCCAGTCTATTGCTGTGAGTGACATGAGCTGTTAGGTTGAAGCCCAAAGACATCTGGGAGGCACAGATGGTTCAGAACTCTCAAATTGCTGTGGAACCATTCCCTTCAAGGTCAGGAGGCTTCTGACACTGCAAGGGCTGGTAATGACACAAAGCCATCCAGACCTTTTCAGAAAGAGCTCCTCTCCTGTCCAGTTCCTCATTTCCTGGCACTCAGCACAGGGATGAGCTCAGCCCCAGCTCATTTCTGCTAATGGCACTCCTCTCCCAGGGAGGTGGAACCTGCGCAGCCTTTCCATTCCTAGAAATCTCCTCTGCAGCAGAGCAGATTCCAGTCCCAGGGTTTCCAATTTCACCAGTGAATGTTCCCTCCTGAAAAGATATTCCACTGAACTCAATGCTCCATAAAAACCTTTGCATTGGCTGGCTGTAAAACCACAGGAAACAGAGTGTTTAAACCTCTGCAGCAGAAAAGTTTCAAAATGTAATTGCCACTTTAGAAAACTGAGAGAGCTACAGAGTACTACTGCAACAGCAAAAGATCATTTCTGTGCTAATATTGTCTGAACAGGAAAGGTCTTTTCTTTTGGTCTACCTAGAGATTGTATTCTTGCAACCATTACCAGCAAATAAAGTGCAGTTCTTCATGAAACTAAACACTGACCTGAATTTGGAACACTACTGTGCCCATCACTTTGAGATGCCAATGAAAGCTCTGAATGACCTATTGAAATACCAGAATTATTCCCCAGAATCCCAAGGAGGCAGGAGCTGAGCTGTGTGAAAATATGAGAAATTATTCCACAGGCATTTGCCATTAGGGTGACTCTACCAAGAGCTTTTCTGTTAGCCACCCCTCCTCAGAGGATTTAGGAACCAAGGCAAAAAGAGTGGTGAAAATATGGGAGTCTTTTAGAGAGGAAATAAAGACAGAAGAGAAGCACAACCAAGAAATGACTGATTATGATGGCTCATGATTTCCATATCATAGTAATAAGCTACATGTGGAGATCTCCTACAGGGGTGGTGCAGGTGATGAATTACACACAGGATCATAAAGAATTGCAAGGTTCTGATGTAGCATCAGCCTCTGAGGTCTTTGCTCACCCTGTAATTCCATGTATTCCAGAAAGGAGTTCTGTTGACCGGAACAGGTCTACTTTCAAAGTGAGATGCAACTGAACTGACAGATATCAAAGGCACCTCGCAGGGTTTTGTTGTAAATCAAAAGATTTGCATCAATATTCAAGAGAAATGAGCACCGAGGAAAAAAAAATCAAACCCCAATAAATTGGACAAGTTATTAATTAACCATGAGAGGTTCAGAAAGGACTCATCAAAGCATTCAGTGTCCCCGGGTCTAACTCAGTATCACAGCTTAACAGATGTCCTACCCTGCCTGCACCTGTGACCAGCAGCATCCATCCTCAGGAAAACAAACGAGCAAACAGCAGAATCTGATCCCGGTTCTGTGATGCTCCTGAGAGATCACAAAGACTGAGAGCACTCATCTTTAAACATCAAGCAATGGAAATGCAAACTTATATATATAGAGTGGAACTTTTCATTGTTCAAATGCACGCAGAATGCAAACTGCATGAAAGAAAGGGCTGAAATACTCAAAGCAAAAGGATGCATAACTGCTTTCTCCAGAAAAAGGCTGAGGGAAAGGATGGTCCTGCAGCGACAGCGACAGCTGCACATCTTTCAACAAGCAGATTTTCATGACTTTCCTCCCTGCCCAACAGCGTGCGGAGAAGCTCCCAAACCCTTTCTCACACGTTCCAGCTCCCGCTCAGCCCGCGGTCCCCGCTCAGCCCCGGCCCCGGCGCTGCCGCTGCTGCCAGACCCGGCTGTGGGAGCGCATCCTCAGCCCCGCCAGGTGAGACTTTACCCCGCAGACTGCAACCAACCCACCAGCACCTCTGAGGCTGCCTGTTCTGGCCGTTCGCTGTTTGCACAATTCTCCCATAAACAGCAGCTTCTCCAAGAAAAATTCCACTCGGCTCTTCGGCAAAACGCCGCGGCTGGGAGAGTTCCCTCAAAGACTCACCTGAGCGAAATATTCCACCCCCGAGCATCCCAGAGAAGGCACCGGCGGCAGCTCGGGCATCCCGAGGGATGGCCGGAGCCCGCCGGGCGAGCCCCGCACCTCCATTCCGCCCTGCCCGCCCTGCCAGCGGCCCCCGGCTGACAGCCAGCCCCGGAGCAAAGTTGCCGCGGCGCCGCCGCCCGCCCGGCGCTACTCACACGAAGACCCCGAAGAGCAGCACCCGTATGCCGATCTCGATCGCCAGCTCCCGCATGGTGGGGCCGGCGCTCCGCAGCCCCCTCCGCCGCCTCTCACGCCCGGAGGCAGCGGGGCCGCCTGAGGCCGCCGATCCCGGAGCGCCGGGGCCCCGCGCAGAGCCCGGCCGGGCGCGACCCCGGCCCCGCCATCCCGCGGCCGCCGCGCCGTGAGGGGACCGCGGCCTCGGCGCTGTGAGGGGCGCGGCGCCGGCGCGGCGGAGCCCAGCGCCGGGGGAGGGTCCCGGTGACGGTGCCGGTGACTAACGCGGTGTCCCCGCTCGGGGGGAGGGTCCCGGTGACTAACGCGGTGTCCCCGCTCGGGGGAGGGTCCCGGGGATCCTGGGGATTTCCCCTGCCCGCCTCCCCGCCCGCCCCCGCGGCGCTGCCGAGCGGAGCCGCAGCCGGAGCCGAGCCCGCTCCGTCCCGCCCGCCCCTCGGGGCCGCCCTGCGCCACAGCCTAACGCGGGGAAGGGGCGCCGTGAGAGCGATTTTTGTGCCCCTTTCAGCGCAGAGCTCCCCGTCCTTCCCTGGAGGGCCATGGACCCATCGGTGCGAGGGGCTGACATGCCGGGGCACCGCCGCCACACGCTGGATTGCAGCTCCGGCCGTGGGCTGGCGTTCCGGTGCTCATCCCCGGCTCGTATTGAAGCCCCGTGCTTCGAAAAAAATGGAGAACAATAATAAACGGGGCCGGCGGGAGGGAGCATCGCCGCGCACAGATAACACCGGTGTTCATAAAAACTCCAATTGCCGGCCCGTTTGCAAAGGGCAATCACACACTACACCACCCGGGCTGAGCTTGGCCCATTCACTTTATCTTTGTATAAAGGATTAACAGCGTTTGAACACGCTCTAATGGATGTATTTATGTAACAGGCTTCTCACCTGCTCACACATCCGTGCCATTTAAACCCTACTCTTCATTATTAAAGCAGATAAGCCAGCGGTGTCCCTTGGTCAGATTCTGCATAGTATGTGATATTATAGCCAAAAGGTGTCATTTATTCAGTGCCTGCTCTTTCAGAGATGACTTTAGCTAAACATGCAGAGATTGTAGTTATATGGGAACCCCAAATTGCTGGGATGGGAGAAAGGCAGCAAAACAACCAATGACTTGGTTTGCTCCTGTGTTCCCTCCAATCCATCCACCATTCCTCTCAATGGAATTCTCTGAGCTGCCCAAATCCTTCTATTGCCTCAGTCTACTTTTGCACAGAGTTCATTAAACTTCCTCTTTCTTTAACTTCCTTAGCGTGGAGAGACTCCTGAACATTTTTAGTGTAAGAGAGTTTCAGCCTTAAGTCATGAAATGCAGCAAACTAATTCACATTTAAATGTATTTAATTATCTGCTTTCTTGGGGCATTTGAAGGGGATGTCCTTCAGGAAAGTGTTCATAGCTATTAACACTGCACATAGCTACAAAACAGCCATCAGAACTGCAGCAGGAATCCAATCCACTTTACTACATGATTATTGCTGGAAAATTAATGCCAGAGAGGGTTTGTTAAACCTCTCTGCCTAATATAGGCACTGTGCATTAAAGGGAAGCTTTGAACTCTGAATTAACTACTAAGTAGTAAAACTTCTATTGACTATGTTTGTGAAAGAACAGAGACATGAGATTCTGTGCTAAACTCGTCTACAGAGAAGTTCAGCAGTGCTAGATTTGTTGCAAGAAGTATGACTAAAACCCAGAAAACCCAGATGTGTGACTGCCATTGGAGAGAACACTAAAAATGTTACTTAAAAAGAGAGATCTCTCTGCCTTGTACACCTTATTTCATTAATTTTCAGACAAAGCTCAGTCAACTACCTATAGTCTGGATTTTAAAAAATGTGATTCACTCTCAGGAAGCAAAGCTAAATTGTGAAATCTCTATATTCAACTGGTGGTGGTGGTAAAGGACATGCCACCTTCCTTTGAGGACACTCAGTTGGTCTCCTGTTGTCAAATACTTGTATTTCCTCTGGTTTGTGCCCCCAGTGACTGAATGTGTACCTACACTCCTCATAGGTGTGCACAGGAATAATCTGTTTTTATTAATAGACAGAAATAGCCTCATAATTTGTGTGAACCAAGCCACTCATGAAACAAGGAGTTATCCTCACAAATGAAACAAGATTTGTCCTGCTGCAGAGATCTGCTTGCAGTGTTCTGCCTCTCCAACATGTATCAGCTGATGGTGATTTGTGAAGCATAAATACTTCAGACTGATTTTTTTTTTAAACTAGACCCAGCTTGCAGCTGGCTGCTAAACAAAATCTTGTTTGCCTTTTAAACTGAGCATGAGCTATAGTGGTAAATGGCAAGAAAAATATTTTAGGCTAGGTTGTGGAATTAAGCTGCAAGGCAGCAGGAGGTACCACACAGCCACTGCACTCCAGCTCATTCCTAGAACAAGCCACAGTGACCCTGGGAACATCCCAGATTTTTATCCATCCCTACATCAGACACAGCAGGTGCCCTCAGTGCTATTTATGTTTTTAGGAGTGACTGCAGACTGATCCCACCCCGATGGAGGCAGCTATTGATTCCTTTAGGTGGCTAACTCTGGTTCTCTGTACTTCTCTCTCACAAAGATTAGTTTCTCTTTGAGCCACCTGCAGCCAATTTTCAGTCCTCAAAGAGGTGTACACAGCCAGAAAGAGCAGCACAGCTGACCTGGCTTTTCTGGGGATTACAGCCTTTTGCCAGGATGTGTGCACTCTTCTTACCTGCCTTGGGGCAAAATCTTACAGCTCATGGTAAGCTGAGCTTAAAAAAAGTTGGTTTTTCTATCAAAGCAGGTAAACTTAATCCTGCCAAAAGGCTGTGGGAAATAGCAAGCTTACAACAGAAGGGACATGACGAAAACACAGGTGGTAGTAACACCTGACACTCTGAAACCAGGCAAGAGTGTCAACACAACACATAAAAGTGAAATAATTTTGTATGTTTTAAGAAGGATTCAAAGGATGTTGAATAAAGTTTTCATACCTTTCATGGTTCTGGCACAAAATCAGGAGCAGCTTGGCAGACAACTCTCATTTTGGAGTGATTTACACTCAGATTTGTCACAGGACATAAAACTAATGTAGGTTCAGATCCACTGAGATAAAATATTAACACATATCTGGATGAACAACTTTTCCAGTTTTCCATTGCCTGCATCTGTTGACAACCAGATGTTTAAGCAAAATTGCTGGTCAAAGAAACACTAAAATCCAGCCTGACGTGACACCAGGGCAGCTTTTTATTCTTTAGCAATTACAGTCCACTAAACAACCTACTTATTCTTTCAAAGATATAAATGAAGGGTCACTTTAGCTCTTTCTTACATTGTCTTTACTTCTGTCAATATTTTTTTCTTTTTGCCCTTTACCACTTCTTCTCCTGCCTGTTGGAGTATTTAAATCTATGAATAGACAATTCCTAGATTTAATGAGGCAAAGCCCTTTCCCCCTTTCCTTTCCTGCACACACATTCCCTGTGTATGGTCTGATCTGTGCTGCACACCCAGATGCAGAGCACAGCCCTTGGCTGGAGATTCAGCTCTAAACCAACTCCAAAGCCATGGAGGATTTTGTTAAAAAATCAGAGTCAAGACTGAGATAATTTTATTTATTCTGCACATGTCTATACAGATGCATGTGGCAATGGGAATTTCCCATTATCATTGGATTTGGCTGCTATTCCACATAGATTGCTGCTGGTTTCTTTCCTAAGTAGTTATTGGTGCTCTGATGAACAAAAGAAACTTCAGGCAGTAAAACTCCAAAGGAATTAAAAACCTCAGTCAGCCTGATGCAGCTATGCACATCTTAATTGCCCTGGATATCATATTTAAAACATTTATAAAAGCAAATCATTAATGCTTCTGTTTAGTTACTGTGCAGGTGCCTCCAACTGGCTCCTGATTGTGCCTAATTAAACAGTTCTAAACATTAATGCATCAGCGAGCTTCAGCAGTTGCCGTTTAATGAAGTTGTGTCGAAATGTTTCATCTGGGAGATTTTTTTGGGGGGGTGAATGTATGTGCTTGGGGCCACCCGGTGGAGCAGAACTACAGTGCACGGATCGTGATGCTGCCCGACCCGGGGAGGGCTCACCTGGTCAGTCCCGGGCATCCCGGGCATCCCATCCCACCAGGACAGCCAGCCCTGGGTGCTCTCCTTTATGGATTCACCTCTCCACTCCCGGGCATCCCAGGCATCCCAAACCTGCCAGGACATCCAGCCCTGGGTGCTCTCATTTTGGGACTCACCTCTCCACTCCCAGGCATGAGGACTGACTGAAGGAGCTGGGGGTGCTGATCCTGGAGAAAAGGAGACTCAGGGCTGCCCCCATCACTCTCACAGCTCCTGAAAGGTGCCTGTGCTCAGCTGGGGCTGGGCTCTTTCTCCAGCAGCTCTGACACAACCAGAGCACACAGCCTCAAGGGAAATACAGGCTGGATAGCAGGAAGAAAAGGTGATAAAGTTGTGGAATGGCTGCCCAGGGAGGTGGTGCAGCCCCATCCCTGGGTGTGTTTAACAAAGCCTGGATGTGGCACTGGGTGCCAGGGTTTAGTTGAGGGGTTGGGGCTGGGTTGTACTCAGTGATCTTGAAGGTCTCTTCCAACCTGGTGATTCTGTGAATTCTGTGACATCCCACCCTGCCAGGACATCCAGCCCTGTGTGCTTTCCTTTATGGACTCACCTGGCCACTCCTAGCATCTACAGAACAGCCAGCCCCAGGGGCTGTCCTCTGTCTGCTGTCCATGGAATTTCTCTACTAAACCCTGACTTGTTTCAAAATGTGTCCTTTATAACTCTTCTAGACCAAGAACTGACATATTTTCAGCCAGCACATCACTGCCCCTAATAATCAGCATCTTGGGGAAATTTGATCAGTCTAAACAATTAAATTCATGTATACATGAAACTCAGATAAATTATTTATGAGCCAATTGACATTTACAACACTGGTGCTGTTGGTACTCAATATACTGTGTACATTGTTATGGGGTTACTGTTGTAAAAGTATTCATGCTCCCATAATAAACCTGTGATAAATTCAAGTCTTTGACCTTTACAATATTTAGGGCTCTTGTGCAGTGTTTAACAGGAGGCTG